TTTTTCCTCTCACCGGCTCTGGCTCTCTCCTTGTGCTGCCGGACCTCCTCGGCGTGGGCTTTTTCCTGGTGTTTGATCATGTTCTTCACGCTGGCGAAGCGGTTCCCGCACAGCAGGCACTGAACGCCCGAATTCCCGTCTGCACTCGAACACAACACACACAAACAAACAGCCTGAGCCAGCCGCAAAAAGCCCCCAAAACCCCCAGAGCAAAGAGCTCCAGCACAGCCTCCTGCTTCAGGAAGGGTTAAAGGAAAATAATAAAAAATAAAATATAAAGTAGTTTTAAATAAATTAAATTTATACAATTTAAAAAAGTAAAATTAATAGAAAAAATGATATAATTAATTTCAAATAAAATCTAATAAATCTGAAAGCCAACCTCCTATTTCAGTAAATGTTAAAAGGAAATAAAAAAAAATAAAAAAAATCAAAAGGAGAAATTAATGTTTTTTAAAATAAATACATTTATACAATTTAAAAAAGTAAAATGAATAGAAAAAAAAAACATTTAATTAATTTCAAATAAAATCTAATAAATCTGAAAAGTCTTCATTTAAAAGCCAACTTCCCATTTCAGGCTTCGTGTTTCAGTAAGTGTTAAAGGAAATCAAATAAAAAATATCTAATAAAAAGTAGAAATTAATGTTTTTTAATTATATTAAATGTTTACTATTTTAAAAAGTAAAATTGATAGAAAAAAATTATATAAATAATTTCAAATAAAATCTAATAAATCTGAAAAGTCCTAATTTAAAAGCCAACATAACATTTCAGGCCTCGTGTTTCAGTAAGTTTTAAAGGAAATTTGAATAATCAAATCAAACGTAGAAATGAATGCATTTTAAATTGAAATAAATTTATACAATTATAAAAAGTACAATTAATTGAAAAAAATCACATCAATAATTAATAGAAAGTCCAGTCATTTTTATTTTTTGTTTGATTTAAAGTGGAAACCATCACAGGAGAATCATTACTGGTCCCTGAACGCCTCATGGGGACCTCAGAAACTGAGTAACCCTCCTCAGGTTCTCCCCTTTCCCCAGATTTAATCAGATTTAATCAGATTTAATCAGATTTAACAAACTCACCTGGGTGGAGCCTCCTCATGTGTTTCTTCAGTTCGGACGAAGTCACGAATTTGGCGTCGCAGTTCGGCTGAGAGCATTTATAGGGTGTCTCTCCTAAAACACACATTTAAAACCCTTCAAACTCCCATCTGAGGCTATTATCTATTAAAGGTTTTAATTTTTTTTTCTATTGTTTCAAAAACATACTTTTTATCACAAGTATATATGAATGTTTTTTTTTCAATTAATGAAAATGTAAAAAGCCAAATCAAAGGAAAAAAAATCATAGAAATAATTTTGAATAAAATAAACAAGACAATAAAATAAATAAATAAATAATAAAATAAAATAAAAGACAAGAGATTAAATCAAACATATAACGTGTTTCCTTTTAGAAAAGATATTCAAGAAAATTGTATTGTGTGATTTGAAGAGGAAATCATCACATTAATGGTCACTGAACACCCCATGAAGACCCCTGAAAGATGTAATTTTTATTTAATTTAAAGTGGAAATCATCACATTAATGGTCACTGAACGCTCCGTCAAGACTAAACTATCCCAGAAAGATGGATTTTTATTTAATTTAAAGTGGAAATCCTTACAGGAGACTCATTAATGGTCACTGAACGCCACATGAAGACTAATGAAAGGTGGATTTTAATTAAATTTAAAGTGTAACTCATCACAGGAGACACATTAATGGTCACTGAACGCCCATGAAGACCAAAATATCACTTAAAGGTGGATTTTTATTAAATTTAAAGTTGAAATCATCACATTAATGGTCACTAAACGCCTCATGAAGACAAAAATATCCCTGAAAGATGTCATTTTTATTTAATTTAAAGTGGAAATCATCACAGGAGACTCGTTAATGGTGACTGAACGCCCCATGAAGACCAAAACAACCCTGAAAGATGGATTTTTGTTTAATTTAAAGTGTAAATCATCACATTAATGGTCACTAAACGCCCCATGAAGACTAAAATATCCCTAAAAGATGTAATTTTTATTTAATTTAAAGTGTAAATCATCACAGGAGACTCATAAATGGTCCCTGAACGCCTCATAAAGACCAAAATATCCTTGAAAGACGTAATTTTGTTTAATTTGAAGACATTTCTGCCCACCTGTGTGCTTGCGGGCGTGCGCGATGAGGGAGGAGGACACGGAGAAGGACATCCCGCACAGGTCGCACTGGTAGGGTTTCTCCCCGGTGTGGCGGCGCTTGTGGTAGGTCAGCGTGCTGGACTGGGCGAACGCCTGGCCGCAGATGTCACAGACGTACGGTTTCTCCCCGCTGTGCAGCCTGAGGAGAGAAGAAGAAGAAGAGAAGCAGCCGGCAGGAGGCCGATTGTTTGTTTTTTTGTGATTCACTGTTTTTTATTAAGGAACAAATTCCCAAACTGGGAAACAGGAGTCAGTGATCAATACCCACCCACCCCACCCCAACCTTAGATACAAATCACATGACCAATAAGGTCATAAATGAAAATAAATAAATAAATAAAATAAAAATATATATTTTTTTAAATTAATTTTAAAAAATGAAGTTTTTTTTTTTCTTAATTCAGTAAATGTGAAAGAAAAAGAAAATAAAATAAATAAAAAGTAGAAATGCATGTTTTTAAATTCAATTAAATATATATCATTTTAAAAAGTAAAATCAATAGAAAAAAAAGTCATATTTTAAAAAACAAGAAAATGGCTGTGAGAAAACAGATAAAACCAAAATATAAATATATATAAATATAATAAAATGTCCACATTCAGGAAAAATACCTCTGAACGTGGAGCCTAAACCAAAATATAAATATATATAAAATAATAAAGCCTCCACATTTATAACACCATCCCTGCAGGTGGGGCATAAACCAAAAATATAAACATATATAAAAATAATAAAACCTCCACATTTATAAGAACTATCCTGCAGGTGGAGCGTAAACCAAAATATAAATATATATAAAAATAACAAAGCCTCCACATTTATAACACTCTCCCTGCAGGTGGAGCGTAAACCAAAATATATACATATATAAAAATAACAAAACGTCCACATTTATAACACTATCCTGCAGGTGGAGCGTAAACCAAAATATAAATATATATAAAAATAATAAAGCCTCCACA